CTTGGGCTTAAGTGATTCTCTTGCCTCAGCCTCCCAAGTAGCTGGGACTACAGGTACCCACCACAATGCCTGGCTATTTTTATTTTTATTTATTTTTCTTTTTTTTGGAGACAGTCTCCCTGTGTCACCCTAGGTAGAGTACTGTGGTGTCACAGCCCACAGGAACCTCAAATTCTTGGGCTTAAGCAATTCTTTTGCCTCAGCCTCCCAAGTAGCTGGGACTATGGGCACCCACCACAATATCTGGCTACTTTGTTGTTGTTGTTGTTGTCATGGTTGTTTAGCAGGCCCGGGCCGGGTTTGAAGCCACCAACTCCAGTGCATGTGGCCAGCACCCTAACCATTGAGGAGCCAAGCCAGTGGGAATATTTCATTATTGTTGTCTCCTCCATTCTAGAGTTGGGAAGCCAAAGTTTTGCCTTGGCCCTGTACTCACTGCTGAAATATGGAACCCTAGGCAAATGCTCCACCTCCCCAGGGCCCCAACCGGAGTTGGGGGCAGGGACTGAAACTGGATTCCCTCCTCAGCTCTCTTCAGCATGAACACCCAAGATAATGAAGAGAGATGGCCTTGTTCTCTGGAATGTCCTTCCCTCATGGCCTGGCAAACCTGAGGTCTTTTGGCTTAAATACAATGAGGTTGGCATCTCCTTAGGGGGTTGAGAATAATTTTGTGGCTTAATTATCCATGCACCCAAGGGCAGAGGAGAGTGGCTGCATTTTTATACTGGCAAAGACTGCTTAATTCAGGATGGGGTCTCGCACCTGGTGCAACATCTCTGTTTCCATGAGCACCGGATGGATGGTCTGCGTTAGGCTTCCCTGAGGCCATGATAAAGAAATGATGCAGGGAGTCGGCTCATGAAATGTCGTGGGGGCACCAGCCAAGGAAAAAGCCACATGTTTCTTAATCTACAAGGGCTGTCCGGAAAGTATCCAGCCATTGTTAGCTTATTTTTCATAGAGCGTGGCTGGATACTTTCCAGTTGGCTCTCATATTCCCTTTCAGGACAGAGGGTGGGTGGGAGATGGCCACAGCCAGCAGGGCACAACTCTCAAGATTTAAGGCAGGAGAGAAAACTCCCCAATCCCACATGCATGGCAAGTTCAGAAGTCCTAGCGGTTTTTTCCTGGGTATTTTTGTTCTTGTTTTGTGCTTGTTTTCTAAAACAATCAATTCTGATTACATTTAAAAGGGCACTGTGTTCTGGCAGGATTTTCTTTTAAAACAAAAGGTGAGGAATAGATAAGAGAATACTAGTCCCCTTGAGTACATGATGACCTGTCATAGCTTTGACACCTGACATTTGGAGAGTGGGGAGTGGTAAGGTTTTCACTTAATTGCAAGGTTTAGAGAACTGGGCATTTTGTCAGGAACTATCAAACAACTAAAATGTATGGAGTTTGGAAAGGCCTAGCTTTCCACCTATTACTACAGTGAAACTTATTTTTTTCTTCTGCACACTTAGTTTCTACTTAGTTTTCTACTGCACACTAAACCTTCTAGAGAACTCCCCACGATAAGTCCGTGGGTAAGGCAAACCCACCTCTATAGAGAAGCCAAAAAGGCCAGATCCTTACTTTCTCAGCTTCCCTACAGCTAAGTCACAGCCAATCAGATGGACCCACAGACTTTCAATCAGGAGCTTAAGATTTAAAGTAGAACTAATGGACAAGGCGTTCTGGTGAGGCCAGAAGCAGTAGCACTGATGCCTGATACCAGGGGGCTGCGACGGCAGTGGTGGTACATTCTGTAAAGTCTCCTGTTTGGTGAGGAGGCCAGCAGTGTCCTCACCAGGCTCTTCTCAGAGATGATTTTGGCCTTGGTCTGGGCTGCCGTCTTGCTTTCCTTGTTCCAGCCCATGGTCTAAGCCTGGATCTTCCTGGTGATTCTGTGAGATTCCCAATAGTTTTTCAATAAATTCTTGTTGCTGACAATTAGTTACTCTGGGGGATTTACTACTTATAATACTTGGACAAAGTTACTTCATCTCTGACTCTCAGCTTCCTGTCTGTAATCAGTATGGGAATCATACTCCTCTCTTCATTTATTCAATCAGCAAATATATAATCATCAAACATCCCCTGTCTAGGCTCCTCTGCACTCTATCGATGTATAGTCTGGTGGGACAGACAAACTGTCAAATCACCTCCAAAATAATTAATTATATGTATATAAAGTTCTGTGAAAAATTCATAGCAGCATTATTCATAACACCCCCAATCAAGCCAAATATGCACCAACTGATGAATGGTAAAACAAAATGTGGTATAGCCTTACAATGGAATATTATTGAGCCATAAAAAGGAAAGAAATATCGACACATGATAAAATGTGGATGAATCTTGGAGACATCCTGCGAAGTAAAAGAAGGCAGGCACAAAACACCAGATTGTATGATTCTCTTTCTATGAAACGCCCAGAATGGGCAAATCCATAAAGATAAAAAAAGAGATTAGTGGCTTCTGGTAGACAGGGACTAGAGGGAACAGGGACTACTAAAGGTTAGAGGTTTCCTTTGGAGTGATAAAAATGCTCTGAAATTAGTCTTTATGGTGGCACAAAATCCACTTTAAAAGGGTGAATTTTATGGAATGTGAATTATATTTCAAAAGAGGCTCTTACTCTTAATTCTTCATCACTTCTCTTGATGGCCCACCTTCTTTCCCTCCTGATGCTGATAGGTCTCTCCTAATGCTGCAAAGAAAGACAGCCTCTGGTAACCCTAGATGTACGCCCTCTGCCTTAGCAGCCTCTTCAGAAGGAGACCATCCCTCTCTCAGTGCCTCCCTAGATTGATTCCAGAGAAGAGGTTGATTGGCCTTTCTTAAGTCACATGCCCCTCTGTGGACCAACCACTGTGCCGGGGGTAGGAACTATGATTGGTTGGGCCTGGCAACACCTATGGAGTTGGTACTGTGCGAGGAAGGCACTGTGACGTATTGCCCCACCAGAACCACCTGAAAAGGGAGAAAGTTTTTCCTAATGAAAGCAGGGACTGTTACCAAAAAAGGGCAGGTGAGATGCCAGCCAACATCTATCTTGATTCACCATGATCACTATAGAAACCAACCCTGTTCTAGGGGTGCTAGAAAGACACACAATCCCCCCACATTGAAATGAGACCTAGAGAATAAGCAGAAATAGTGAATTACCCGAGGGAGATTGCTACAGGTAGAGGGAATACCTTCTAAGACATAATACATGCTAAAATGTATCCTCAACGTAAACCACCAAGTACACTATCATTGTTCCAGGATCCAGGAATCCTGATGCCCAGACTAGGTGCCTTCCTACTCTGCAGAGCTGTCACTCAGACCACACCCTGCTCCAGGCTGCCCTGCAGTGGCTCCAGCCTGAGAGCTGTCACTGTCAGTTGAACCAACTGCCTAATTCTGGTGGACTCTCCAGCTGTTTAGTATCACAAACACAATAAATACTATTTCGTGCCAAGTGTTCCAGCCCTCTTCTCACATAAAAGTTACAAGCAGATATTAAGAGTCTTCACTTTCATCTGGTAAAACTGTGCTGGGGGGTGATAACATCAGCTCAAGCACATTGCTTGCATCTTGGAACACTGCACAGTGGGCGTCTTTTTTTTTTTTTTTTTTTTTTTTTTGCAAAAACGAAGAGGAAGCAGTCGAGAGACTGGGCTAATAAAGGTGCATAGACAACATGAAAATCACCTTCCAGATCAGAAAATCAAGAAGAACTAGCTGGCGACTTGGCCAAATCTGCACAGATACACCTGTCCTCTGAACTGCCCATTACTGAGTTAGTTGGGACTGACTTGGTTACAGACAGAAACCAGTGAAAAGTCCACGTGCAGGGCTGAATGTGGGGCCTCAAAGGATGTCCTTGGGACACACTCTTACTCTCTAGTTGAGATTACCCCTGCCTGGACTAAGGAGATTCCTAAAATGTGGGACTTTGGGGGGGGGGGGGAGACAGAGTCTTGTTTTGTCATCCACATAGAGTGCTGTGGCATCATAGCTCACAGCAACCTCAAACTCTTGGGTTCATGTGATTCTCTTGCCTCAGCCTCCTGAGTAGCTGGGACTACAGGCACGCGTCACTAACTATCCCAGCTAGTTTTCCAATTTTAGTGGAGACAGGGTCTTGCTCTTGCTTAGGCTGATCTCGAACTCCTGAGCTCAAGGGATGGATTTTCTTTACCATAAGATCAAATGCTTCTTGGGTGACTCACCCAATATTTTGGGACTACAGGCACGCATCACTAACTATCCCAGCTAGTTTTTCCAATTTTAGTGGAGACAGGGTCTTGCTCTTGCTTAGGCTGATCTCGAACTCCTGAGCTCAAGGATGGATTTTCTTTAACCATAATATCAAATGCTTCTTGGGTGACTCACCCAATATTTTGGCCTTCCAGAGAGCTAAGATTACAGGCATGAGCCACTGCACTCAACCCAATGGGACTTTTTAAAATCAGGACAGTTCCAGATGATATTGGGTGACAAAAGCACAATAGAAAAAATAGTGTAATAGTTAGATTCTATCACATGTCTGTAGAAATCAATGTTCTCATTTATGACAGGCATTTTTTCAATAAGTATGGTAGGAGGAAAGTTCTTGCATATTTGCCTAAGTTTCTTAGGTAAAACAGATTTTTTACATGCCCCTCCCTTTACTTTACACTACACCTGGCACAGCTTTCTCCTGGAAATAATCAGATGTTGGTAGAGCCAAATGACTTAAGCATAGTGACCCTTGCTTTTTTTTCTTTCCCAATGGAAGATTGGAGTTTATTAAGTCATATACACAAGTCATGTCTGACAACTGAGAAAATGCTATTTGCATAAGACATCCGATTAAAAATACATAGTATTTGTATTTTAACACAAGGTCCCAGGATTTCAAACAAGGAAGTCTGATTCCAGCGTATGCGTCATGTAATCATGTACTCTGCTACAAAGAACTGTAGGGGACATAAACTTTGGCAGTATATTTCTCAAAAATCAAGTATTAATGAATTTCATACTCATGGTTTTGCATCCGTAGAGGAAGCTATAGTTCTTTCGGCACATGTGCCAATTTCTGAGTCGTCCACTTCAGAATCCTCACCGGCTTCCTCTTCAGAATCAAATTCCTGACTATCCGGGGATTCGAGGTTTTTCAGAGGTTCACCACTCAGTCTCTCTACTACCTGGGCCATACACTGTACGTGTTGTGCTACTTCTGCCAAGTCTTTGTTCTCCTTTGTCAGGCGGGCAATTTCATTGTCCTTCCCTTCAACTTCTTCATCAAGTTTCTCATTCTCCGTAAGTGCTTCACAGAGAGCCTTCCTCCGCCTTTCTGCCACTTCTTTCCAATATTGAGATGATGGATTTTCTTTAACCATAAGATCAAATGCTTCTTGGGTGACTCACCCAATATTTTTATTTTCACTATATTCCGGGTCAATAGCAACTCCAGAGCTGGAAGTCTTAGACGTTATCTGGCCATTCCAATGTTTCTTTTTTGATAAACCCTAGGCCAGCTCATTTTCTCTTCCAACAAGAGATCCAGCTGCAGAAGGCTGAATCATCTTCAGAGTTCTTCTTGGGACAGGACTATTCTTTACATTTTCTTTAATTTCTTCTTGTTTCTGCTTCATACTGGGATTCATTACACAGCTCATGAAAGGCAAAAGATGGGTGGATATGCTCAATCTTTGTAGTGAAGGCAGGGAGCTGTGGCAGCGGGGCCTCACACAACACCCACAGGCAACCTATGTTAGTCCCCGCAGTGGACCCTTGCTTTAAAAAAAAAAAAAAAACACTACTACATATCTTTCAGAGAAATAAAGACTGCTTCAATAAAATGAAATCACCTCCCCTATTTGTATCACACAGGAGCCCAGCGGGTTATAAAACTCTGCTCAAATGTTTTAACTTAAGAGGTTTTAATAAAGTGTCCAGAGGTGTGGCCAGGGCTAATGGAAACTACCAGAGACTAACAGCTGCAGGAAGCCGCTGCTACCTCTGGGTCCTAAGGGGTAAGAAGAGGAGTATGATTCACAGAGTCCAGCCACAGATGAAGTCAGGGCCAGCCTGACAGGAAGTGAGGTCATGGGACAGATGCCGAAGCAAGGAGGGAGGAGGAAGCAACCCTCTGACATCTGCCTTCTGCCAGTAACCTTCACTGACCAAATGCTACCGGAAACCAGATGGCGAGAAAGCCCAGGTGAGGTGGCTTGCAGAATTCAGCCTCCTCAGGCCCCGAGAAGAACGGAGACTGGATAGGATGGCAGGGAAGGAGGGATGCAGAGAATATCCTGTGTGGTCCCCCTTTGCATCCACTCCGCATCTGTCCTGCCCCTCACTCAGGTGAAGAAACTCTTATCTCCAACATTGTTGGGATGTAGAGTCATAAACCGTCATATCGTGATATCAATACTGTCACACTCTCATCCAAAAGTGCCACATGCCCTTCCCATGAGGTAGCAGAAAAGTGAGAGGAAAGATAAATTGCTGTATAATCAATTAGGTAACACAAGCATAGGCTGGGCGTAGTGGCTCATGCCTGCAATCCTAACACTTTGGGAGCCTGAGACGGGAGTTCAAGCCCAGTGAGTTCAAGGCCACACTGAGCTATGATCACACCAGTGAACTCCAGCCTGGGTGACAGAGTGAGACCCTGTCTCTAAAACATGCAAGCCTTTTTTCATATGTCTGTAGGCCATGCGTCTGTCTTCTTTAGAGAAGTTTCTCTTTAAGTCTCTTGCCCACCCTGAGATGGGATCACTTGTTTTCTTCTTGCTACTACGCTTGAGTTCTCTGTGGATTCTGGTTATAAGACCTTTGTCGGAAGCATCACCAGCAAATATCTTTTCCCATTCTGAGAAATGCAAATCAAAACCACTGTGAGATATCATCTAACGCTAGTTAGATTAGCCCATATCACAAAATCCCAAAATCACAGATGCTGGTGGGGTTGTGGAGAAAAGGGAACACTACTACACTGCTGGTGGGAATGCAAACTAATACGTCCCTTTTGGAAAATCATATGGAGAACACTCAGAGATCTAAATATAGATCTACCATTTGATCCTATAATTCCTCTGTTAGGTATATATTGAGAAGACCAAAAATCACGCTACAATACAGATATCTGTACCAGCATGTTCATTGCAGCCCAGTTCACAATCGCTAAGTCATGGAAGAAGCCCAAATGCCCATCCATCCATGAATGGATCAATAAATTGTGGTATATGTACACAATGGAATACTATACAGCCACAAAGAAAGATGGAGACTTTGCCTCCTTCATGTTTACATGGATAGAGCTGGAAAATGTCCTCCTTAGCAAAGTATCTCAAGAATGGAAGAAAAAGTATCCAATGTACTCAACACTATTATGAAACTAATAGTTAGCTATCTTAGGAGAGCTATGATCCAAATGGAGCCCTAGACTACGGGGAAAGAGGAGAGGGAGGGGAGGGGAGGGGGAAGGATGGGTGAAGAGAATGATTTTGTGGGGATCACGCCTATGATTTATCCTATTAGGGTACAGGTGAATTTGTCTAAAGGTCGAATATAAATGTCTTAACATAACAATTATGAGAAAGGCACGATGGCTATGTTAGCCAGTTGGATGAGAGTTTTTCAAACTGTATATGGATGCAACACATTGTATCCTATGATAGAATTAATGTATACAATTATGATCTAATAAAAAAATTAAAAAAAAATAAAACATGCAAGCCTAACAGCCACAGTCCGCACTGCAGTAGCTGCTCATGGAACGGAAATCACGATGACAGCTTGCTCATTCTGCCTTCTCCTCGTCCTCAGATGATGAAAGAATGAGTGAAACCTTCCTTTCCACAGGATCTGAGCCCCAGTGATCTTATACCATATTTACTGGGCTTCCCGTTTCCTATTAACCGTTCCGACTGTGTGTGGGAGCACTAAGAAGAGGCCACTGGGTCCTCTAGGCTCTAGATACGGTTTTTGTTGCCATCGGTCAATGACACTAACCTGATGTCCCTGGATAATTAAGATCAATCACTCCAATCAATACAGTTACCAGCTGTCTGTTCAGTGACCAGGAGGAGCTTTACATGACCGCAGGACAGTTTTAGCTTCAAATTTAACAGAATACATCTGTGTTCCCAGGTGGAAACCAACACCTCCAAATGCACCAAACCAAGGTTTCAGGGATGGGACCCTGGAGTGGTCTAACTGGGTTAAGAGGTGTAATAGTCTGCAAGTAAGATGGGGTCATGCCCGCCCCTCCACCTCGCCTGCTCCCAAGACCGTGTTTCTGCATGGAGGGAAAGCAACACTAGACTGGGCAAGACAGGGCTCCTACAGTATTAGGATGTTATTTCCTAGCTGTGCTTTAGAAAGTCATTCTACAGTTCTATAAAGCTTCTGAGTGATGGGTTACACAACAAAACCAGTGATTTTGTTAGCAAGAGCCCAGCTCTGTCCTTCTTTTGCCACAGAGTGAGTTTCTTGGCAATTTGGAGGCGGTAGTATATGGGCTACCAAGACAACCAAGGCGCCTGCAGAGTCCACAGCGGCAGCTATGTCTCAAACCAGTCAGCTATGTCTCGAGTCCCGGTTCTCATTCTTAGGGAAGAAGAATGTTCTTCTAAAATTCTAAAGTCTCCCTTTTTTTCATCCTCCCCTGTGGCCCTCATGCAGCCTTCAGGAGACAGAATGGTATTTCAGGAAGAGCATGAGCTTTGGAGTCAAAAGGCCTGGATTCAAATCCCAGCTCTGCCACTTTTGAACTGCGTGACTCTGAGCAAGTCACCTTACATGTACTTTCCTTATAAATAAAGCAGGAATATTACCTACTTTGTAGGGTTTTAAAGTAAATAAACCAATGTAGAAGAGATGGGTGTGGTTGAGCCACCCCCGTCTTTTACGTCTTCCTCCTACCTTCAAACTAAACTCATGCCTGTAATCCTAGCACTCTGGGAGGCCAAGGAAGGTGGATTACCTGAACTCAGGACCTCAAGATCAGCCTGAGCATAGAGCGAGAGCCCACTGGGCATTGTGGGGGGTGCCTGTAGTGCCAGCCCATCTCTAAAAATAGCTGGGAGTTGTGGCGGGCACCTGTACTCCCAGCTACTAGGGAGGCTGAGGCAAGAGAATCACTTGAGCCCAAGAGTTTGAGGTTGCTGTGAGCTATGATGCCACAGCACTCTACTGAGGACTACAAGTGAGATTCTATCTCAAAAAAAAATAGTAGATATTATAGAAGTCAACCACATAACAGACAATAATGTTACTGCCTTCCTCCTGCCTTTAAGCTCAACTCCACATCTGAAGTATCAATTTTAGAAATGGCTTATAACAAAACACATGCCTTGGGCAATTTATAAAATCTCACCAAATGGATTTTCTCTGGGCTCAGCCTTGCTGGTTTTATAAGCAAAATCTATAGCGCTAAGCTTGTCAATTCTTCCATCTTTGTCACACAGGGATAATTCAACATTTTTCTCTGTCTCAATATTTCTAAATCTGCAAGTTTTGTACAAGGCAAAATCCCTTCTCTGGGCTTGAGTCCAGTTTTCTCAGCAGATATATATATATATGTTTGGTAAATCCTAAAACTTACAAATCATCCCTTTGGTTTCACTCAGCTCTTGGCTCCAGTACACACACAAGCACGTAAGATTGGAGAGGCATAAGGGAATGATGGGTGAAGGAAAGGGTGAGGGTTTGTGTGTGACCTAGTCTCTGGATACTTCTCCTGCATGGAAGGTCTACACTGTCAGGATTATTGTTTGCAAGCAACAGAAATTGGCCCTGGCTTATGCAAACATTTTTTGGAAGACATAGTATCAGCAGGAGGCTGAAGAAACAGATTTAGAAAAAAGGCAGGTATGGAAAAAGCCCCCAGAGGATCAGGCAGCAAGGACCACAGCAGAGCTCTCACCACGGACCCATCCGTGGTCGGTTCCTCTCCCTCTCACGGATGCTGGCAGGAATGCCCTGCAACAACACAGAACCAGCAACCTCCTTCTGTCGCTTCCCCAGAAGCCTGCGTGATCACTCAAACCTAAGTCACATGCCTGCTCTGGCAGGCAGTGAGAAAATCTGGTCCCTCTAGGTCCTATATTTGGAAGTTAGCACAACTCCCACCAAGATAACACACTGTAAGGCACCCCTTAAATCAGAGGGTTAGCAGAAAAGGGATCCTAGCTGGATGGTGCACAAGTTAATATAAATTGTCACTGTGCGTTCATTTATTTGCGGATTTTAGTAATTTCATTCTTTGCTTATTTACAAGAAAATTTGTTATAACTTGCTTGTGGTGAGAAATAGCACAGCATATATATTTATAACATTTTTAAGGCATTTGGAAATGGAACACGTACAGGAGTGGTTTCTGTAACCACTGACAGAATAAAACCATCTTACTCAAGATGGATCTGACAGGTGAGAGCAAAAGAAAAGATCCGGATGTTGAACCGGAAACAGAGTTCCTGTGTCTTCCCCCGGGCAGGCCTCAGCAATTAGGAAGTTCTTCTAGCAATGCAGGGAATCTTCCCAGCAGCAGAGGAGCACAGGATTTGTTTTCTATTCTTGACCTAAAATCAGCGAAAGTGAGGTCTACTCAGAATAAGATTCCTTGGCGTTTCTCTCCCATTCGAGGAGTTGCTGAGTC